CAAAATCCAAAAACTAAATACACGGTTAGATTCAGCATATTAAAGAACCCCAAGAATTAAAGAATAAAACCCCATTGAAATTGGTCAAGAAATAAGCAATTTATACGAAGTATCTTCTTTTGCACAATACTGTGCAATTAAATATTTCTTGCTATTGCGCAATACTGCACAATTGACAATTTCTTGCTATTGCGCAATATTGTGCTATTGGATATTTCTTTCTATTGCGCAAAACTGTGCAATTGAAGATTTCTTGCTATTGCGCAATACTGTGCAATTGAAGATTTCTTGCTATTGTGCAAAACTGTGTAATTGAAAATTTCTTGCTATTGCACAATACTTATTATATAATAATTTACACATCCTGTTTTGTGTGTATCTCCTACAATATCATTATTATTTGCTTTTAATTATAAATCAGAAATAACCAACTTAAAATGGAAAATTTTAAAAGAAAAAAAAAAAGGAAAAAAAAAAATCTCCCCCCAAATTTTTTGAACCCCCTTATGATTCATCACCCCCAAACTCAATCCCAGCCTTCCCTTTGTGGTATGGTACCTTGCAGTACAATTTTAGAGAGATCCATACACTTGAACACAAGTTATTGTCTGGAAACTAGAAAAATGTGTTTTTTGGCCCCTTTTTGGCCCCAAATTCCTAAACGTTTCGGGCAATTACCCCCAAACTCAAACCCAGCTTTCCCTTTGTGATATGGAACCTTTTAGTACAATTTCAGAAAGATCCATACACTTACACACAAGTTATTGTCATGAAACTAGAAAAATGCTTGTTTTTTGCCCTTTTTTTTGCCCCTTATTCCTAAAATATTGAGGCAATTACCCCCAAAATCAATCCCAGCATTCTTTTTGTGATATGGAACCTTGTGGTACAGATCCATATACTAACACACAAGTTATGTCTGGAAGTTACAAAAATGCTTATTTTTGGCCCCTTTTTGGCCCCTTATTCCTTTACTGTTGGTACCATAACCCCATAAAATCAATCCCAACCTTCCTTTTGTGATATTGAACCTTGTGGTAAAATTTCATAGAGATCCATTCACTTAAACTAAAGTTAGAGTGCGAAAACCAATGTGTCTTCGGACGACGCAGACGACGCCGGACGACGACGACGACGACGACGACGACGACGACGCCAACGTCATACCAATATACGACCACAAAAATTTTTTTGCGGTCGTATAAAAACTGATTATAGTGGTATTACTGAAATTAAACAAGATGGCAAACTCTTAACTGATCCACTACAAAAAGCTGGGGCACTTAACGCACAATTCCAGTCTGTATTCACACCAGCATCAAATATCTCCCATAAAGAATTTGTCAAACAGTGTAACATGCCACAGAATACTCTTTTTCCACCCATAACAAAATTAATCATAAAAACAGAAGGTATACAAAAACTTTTACATAACTTAAATCCTAACAAAGCAGCAGGACCAGACGAAATTAAACCAAGATTTTTTAAAAGAACTTTCACATGAAATTGCACCAATACTTACCATTATCTTTGAGAAGTCAGTTAAAACAGGTGTTGTTCCAGATGACTGGAAAACTGCCCATGTCTCTCCTGTATACAAAAAAGGCCAAATATATAACCCTGAAAACTACCGCCCTATATCTCTCACATGTATTTGTTGCAAACTTTTAGAACACATAGTAGTTAAACACATCATGACACATGCAGATAATCACAACATTTTATATCCCCTACAGCATGGATTTCGCAGAGGTCGATCCTGCGAAACACAACTACTTGAATTTATAGATGATGTCTCACTTAACATGGAAAACGGTAAACAAACAGATATTTTGGTCATGGATTTTTCTAAAGCATTCGATAAAGTTTCACATTCTCTTCTAACTAATAAGCTTCACTATTACGGGATACAGGGGGAATTAAATTACTGGATACAAAATTTTCTAAGCAATCGTAAACAGGCAGAAGTTCTAGAGGGGGGAAAATCTGAGTATGTTGCAGTTGAGTCAGGGGTTCCACAGGGGTCAGTTCTTGGACCAAGTCTCTTCCTGTATTATATTAACGACATTCCAACTGGTCTTACATCTACAGTACGTTTATTTGCAGACGACACAATAGTGTATTTGGCAATAAAATCAAATTCCGAAGCATCCACATTACAAAAAGATGTTGACAAACTGTCATCGTGGGAAACTATGTGGAAAATGGCATTCCACCCAGATAAATGTAATGTAATTTCAGTCACCAGAAATAAAAAACCAATCAAATTTAACTACACATTACACAATCACTCATTAGAACATGTAACAACAGCAAAATATCTGGGGGTTACCATCAGTTCCAACCTTAAATGGGATGTGCACATAAACAACATATGCAAGAAAGCTAATAGCACCCTAGGCTTTCTAAGGAGGAATCTGAACATAAGCTCAACATCAATTAAAGAGCAAGCATATAAGTCCCTAGTAAGACCATCACTAGAGTATGCTTGCTCTGTTTGGGATCCATACTTACAACAAGACATAGATAGCATTGAAAAAGTTCAAAGGAGGGCTGCGCGTCTTGTTATCAACAAATACAGAAACACCTCAAGCGTTGGTAACATGTTACAACATCTTGAATGGCGCAGCCTCTCTGACAAAGAAAAGATTCAAGATTGGTAATGCTTCATAAAATTAAACACGAAAAGGTTGCAATACTTAAACATAATAAATTAATCCCACAAAAAAGACAAACAAGACATTCAAATTCAAACAGCTTCCAAATTCCATCCTGCAAAACACAGTACAGAAAAGAATCCTATTTTCTAAGAACTATTACCGACTGGAACAAACTACCGGACAACATTGTAAATTGCACTTCAGTAGACTCTTTCAAATCTTCAATTTCGAAGCATCAATATTAACTCAACTATTACATCATACTTTATTATACAAAGCATTTTTTTTATTTTTTTGTATTTTTTAAAGACTGTATATATATTAACCTATGTCTTGTTGTAAGTTTCCTCCTGTGACATAATCTTCAATTTGTTGAAGGCGGTCACTATATGGTAGAATAGAATAAAAAAAAATTTTGTTATCACTTAAATGTAAAAGCTTAAATCAAATCTATATGCTCTAGATATTGCACTGGAAGTAAACACAATTACTTCTTTTTCTTATCTTCCTCCTGTGTAAAGGAGCACAATAGCCATAACTGATTTCTACTTATAGCTGAAGTTTATGAAATTCATTTATAAATAAAATGCTTCGCTGAGCGCAGCCTGATACGACTGCAGAGGTCGAACCCTGAACAGTTGGGGCAAGTTTGGACTCATTTTCAAGCTTGATACTGTCTGAATTTGGATTGTGATAAAATTTTTGACATAATATAGGTTTCTGACACAAAATAAATGTGGTCAAAGATCTTAAAAATTTGAAATGGGACATTTAATTTACCTAGAATGGTCTGATATCCAAAATCTAACAACATGGTTAGATTCAGCATATAAAAAAACATCAATAATTTAATTTTAGTTGAAATCAAACAAAGTTTAATTTTAGACCCTTCAAACCTTAATATGAACTAATTTGAAAACAAGGTTCAAAATAAAAATCTAAATGCACAATAAGATTCAGCAAATCATACAGCCGCAATAATTCAGTTTTTGATGACATCAAACAAATTTTAATTTTGGACCCTTTCGACCTCAATGTAGACTAATTTAAAAATGGGGCCCAATATCCAAAATTATACAAGGTAAGAACCCCCAAAAATTCAAGACTTAATTAATCCCATCGAAATTGGTTAAAACATTTGTATTTGTTTTCAATTGAAGATTTCTTGCTATTGCGCAATACTGTGCAATTGAAGATTTCTTGCTATTGCGCAATACTGTGCAATTGAAGATTTCTTGCTATTGCGCAATACTGTGCAATTGAAGATTTCTTGCTATTGTGCAATACTGTGCTATTGCCCAGTATTGTGCAATTGAAGATTTCTTGCTATTGCGCAATACTGTGCAATTGAAGATTTTTTGCTATTGTGCAATACTGTGCAATTGAAGATTTCTTGCTTTTGCCCAATACTGTGCTTTTGCACAATACTGTGCAATTGAAGATTTCCTGCTATTGCGCAATACTGTGCAATTGAAGATGTCAAAAAATTTTGAAGAAAAAAATGACCCCCCCCTTGAAAAAATTGGAGAAAAAAAATTCCTCAAAGTTTTTGAATCCCCCACCCCTCTTTTAGAGTAATTACCCCCAAACTCAATCCCAGCCTTCCCTTTATGGTATGGAACCTTGTAGTACAATTTTAGAAAGATCCATACACTTAAACACAAGTTATTGTCTGGAAACTAGAAAAAATGCTTGTTTTTTGCCCCTTTTTAGCCCCTAATTCCTGAATGTTTGGGGCAATTAACCCCAAACTCAACCCCAGCCTTCCCTTTGTGATATGGAACCTTGTGGTACAATTTCAGAGAGATCCATACAATTACACAAAAATTATTGTCCGGAAACTACAAAAATGCTTGTTTTTGGCCCCTTTTTCCTATTATTAACCTTCTGGTATAAATTCACAGAGATCCATTAATTAAACTAAAGTTATTGTAGTATAAAAATTGTGTGAATAAAGCAATTGGAGGGCATTGTTTAGAAAGATATTTAAGTAATGATAATTAATTTAAATATCTATATAATTAATAAATACATTAGTGAATATTTGTAGAAAATTGGTATACTTTCTGCAACTTGTGTAATCTGTAATGAAAAGGTATGGTAATACACATACACATCATTTTGTAAATTGAACACCTGAAAATATATTACTTGTAAATTATAAATCACTGCAATATATTGTGTGTTCTCATCTATAGTGATGTGATAGCATAAATCTGTAACCCACCACGCCTCCTAATTCTCAAGTTGTTTTCATTAGCTGATTGTTCTGTACTTACCATCAACATTTATTTGTATTCCACTTTACAATGTTTTGGCCAAATAAAACTGCAACTAAGGTTAATATATTGAGCTGTTTTAATTGATTTGCTGCTTTAAATAAATACAATTATGCTGCATTTAGCATTCATACCAGTATATAAGCCCTCAGTTTGGCAAGTTGATATGTAATATAAATATATAACACAAAAATAACTACATACAAAGGCTTATGGAAACAACTAAATACATTCTGATTATGCAAATGAAAATAAAACAATTAAGTATTTGGGAAAATATATTTAACAATTGTTTTTTTGTTCATTTATGTGAAAATGTACTACTTCTTTGAAACTTAATTTGTAGTTGTGTCTGTTGTGTATTAGTTTAAGTTAAATCCATCATTTTTGTTCTATATGAAAAATTGCTTTATATCCGGCAAAACTGTCATATTTCATCTATTAGTAATACATTCCGTTTCCCCTTGTTGGGCATAAAATCTTGAATTATAAGAAAACTTTTTATAAATCTTCCGCTATCCCTTCTCTCTTTTATTCAATTGGCACAAAAAAACAAAAGGTGTAAACTGACAAAACTTCTTTGAAAGTTCCACTGTTTAAGAAAGTTGTTACAGATATTGTGCTTGTCAAGCTTAAAACAGGAGGATCAAATGTCTTTACAGCCAGTGTGTCGTGTGTCCTGTCTGCATTGTTTTTTTTTTCAAATTACAAAACATTTTTAATGTTTTAAATTCGGATTCATCTATCTCACAGAATCTAGTAATATCTATAGCACTGTTTCATTAAATCAATAATTTTCAAAAACTGTGAACAAAAATTGTGCGGTCACATAATATTATTTATAGGTCGTACAAAATTAAAACTTCTTTTAACATTAATATTGAAGGGGTACATAGGGTAATTGGAAAAGAATCAAACAAGAAAAGGGGCAAAAGAGTAACAAAAGTAAGAAATTAAGACACAGAATTTGCCCCTCAATATCAATAATGCAATACAAAAATGTCTTTTAAAATGAAGACTTATTTTTCAACACATTTCAGAATACAATCAACCTTTAGGCTACACCAAATGAAAAGAAAACAGGTTCGAAGGTGCAAATGACAAAAAATTTGCTATTCAGCAGTAAATGATTTTGATTTACACGAAAATATTATCTGTTATTTAAATTTCTTTTATGTGCATAATTTATGCATTTTGTCTGCAGGGTGAACTTGTGCAAGTGCACACACTGAACTTAAAATCAATTTGTGTGGCCTTTACAATGAAACATCAGTACATAAACAAAAGATTACATTAACCAAACATTATTCCTTATTTGAATAAAACAATTATGCAGCATTCATCTTACCCTGCAATTGCATGTTTAATTCCAAAACTCCTAAAATATTGATATACCTATAACAATAAAGATTCAAAATATTATCAAATACAAAAAATAATTTCAGTTGAGATTTCAAACAGTAAATTTAATATTGAAAATCATTTTAAGATTTCATAAATCATTAAATATTCTACTGTTTTTTTCTAAAACTTTAAATAAATTGAAACTATAGGCATACTGGAAGAAGAGAATGTGTTCCTGCTATTGCCATCAGTAATGGAAGGTCTCCTCTTTCAAACCTGGAATAAATAAATACATTACTTATATTATACAAATAAATAAATTATTTTGGAAACTTGAAATGATATTTTTCAGTAAATAAATTTTGAGGAAAATGATTGCAGGGTTGAGCTTGATACCACAGCAAAGGTTGAATCCTGAACAGTTGGGGCAAGTATAGACACAAACATTCATGCTTGATAAAGCTCTGAATTTTGATTGTGACATAGAAATCCATACTCTAATACACACATTAGTGTCCTGAAACATGAAAAATGCTTGTTTTTGACGCTTTTTTGGCCCTTAATTACTAAACAGCTACAACAATAACCCCCAAAATAAATCCCAACCTTCCTATTGTGGTATGGAACCCCTTGTGCTTAAATTTAATAGAGATCTATACAGTTATACTCAAGTTATTGTCTGTGATCCAAACAAATAATTGTTTTTGTTAGGACCTTTTTTTATATACCAAAAAATTGTTTTTGTTAGGCCCTTTTTGGCCCCTTATTCCTAAACAGCTATCACAACAAAAATTCTGAGTGTATTGCATGTCAATACATAGTCCCCTACCAGGTAAAAATTCATTATACTGGAACAAAATACTTACTTGTTCCATAACTTGTCATGGTGTGTAAACAAAAAGTAAATATCATGTCAATATCTTCAAGCATGACTAAAAACAGTGTTGAAAACTGATTATATGAGTGAATTTTTCAAGTACAAGGACCATAACTCTGCACAAAATTTTTAGAACGAAACAAAAATTTGATCTGTAACTTGTCATGATAAAACTATATACCAATTATCAATCAATATCTTATAAGCACGATGAAAAAAAACATTAGATATGATTAATACTTCTCTAGAATTAGGTATGATTAATACAGCGTATATCTATTTTCAAATTATAATCAGATATAATTAATAGTTCCAAATAATTTTTTCTTTCAATTGTCACAAACTAATATAGATTTGTAACTTATCTATAAAATGTCAACAACTTTTATCTACACAATGTAATGTATTGAAATATATACATTAATAAAAAGAGATTATTATCTAATTAAAGGATTTCTCTTCATATTTTTTTTTTATATATACAGCATTCAGAAAATTAGTTTATACTAAATAACAAACCTGTCAAAAAAATTCCTCAAATAATTTAACAAAGAATGTCTTTTAAAAAATGAGTTATCTCCCTTTGTACAGAAATATGGTTTAACATAGTACTCTAACATAAGATATGGTCCAGAGTTATAGTCCATAACTCTGGGCTAAATCATCAGACCGGAACAAAATTCAAACTTGATCTAAAACTTGTCATGATAAAACTATATACCAAATATCAAATCAATATCTTCAAGAACGAAGAAAAAAAGTGTGGAAAGCTGATTTGCCGGACTGACGGATGGACAGACGGACAGATGGACAGACAGACAGACAGACGGAGTGCAAACCTAAAGTCCCCTTCGACTTCGTCGGTAGGGGACTAATAACCCCCAATATTAATCCCAACCTTCCTATTGTGGTGTGGAACCTTGCGCTAAAATTTTGACCAGAGAAATATCTCTTATACTCAAGTTATTGTCCTAAAACCAGACAAAGAATTGTTTTTGGCACCTTTCTGGCCCCTAATTACAAAACAGCTAAAACAATAACCCCCAAAATCAATCCCAACCCTCCTATTGTGATATGGAACCTTGTGCTAAAATTTCTTACACATCCATACACTTATACTTAAGTTATTGTCTGCGAACTAATTTATTTTCCATGATCCAGTAAAACTGACCTTTTTTGGCCCCCAAAAACAAACCAACCATCCTTTAGTGGTATGGAACCTTGTGCTAAAATTTCATAGAGATCCATGAACTTATACTCAAGTTATTGTCTGCAAACCAAAATGGCTTAAGACGCAGACAACACCATAACATAATACGAACGCAAATAAATTTGCAGTCGTATAATAAGGAGATGTGGTATGATTGCCAATGAGACAACTATCCACCAAAGTTCAAATAAAGTGGATGTAAGCAAGTATAAGCAACTGTACGGCCTTCAACAATGAGAAAAATCCATACCGTATAGTCGGCTATAAAAGGCCCTGACATGAAAAATATGAAAATTCAATTGATAAAACTAACGGTCTATTTATAACAAAACAATTTAAGAAAAACAAATATGACAGACATGAACCAACGACAACAACTGAACTACAGGCTCCTGAATAATGTGGTTGGGTTAAACATGTTTGTTAGAGCTCAATCCTCCCCCTAACCTGGGACAGTGGTGTAACAGCACAACATAAGAACAAACTATAATAAAATGCTCCGCTAGGCGCAAGCTTGATACGACCGCAGAGGTTGAACCCTGAACAGTTGAGGCAAGCATGGACTCAACGTTTAAGCTTAAAACAGCTCTGAATTTGGAGTGTGATTGAATATTTGACACAGCATAGGTTTGTGACACAAAATAAATGTGATGAAAGAACTGAAAAATTGGATATTGGACATTTACTTATTATGGTCCAATATCCAAAATCTAAGTACATGGTTAGAATCAGCATATCAAAGAACCCCAAAAATTCAAATTTTGATGAAATCAAACAAAAGTTAAATTTAGGACCCTTTGGACCTCAATGTGGACCAATTTGATAAAGGAGCCCAAAATCCAAAATCTAAATACATGGATAGATTCAGCATTTCAAAGAACCCCAAAAATTCAATTTTTGTTGAAATCAAACAAAAAAAAAGTTTAATTTGGGACCCTGATTTGGACCAACTTGAAAACTGGGCCCAAAAATCGAAAGTTTAAATAAAGATTTAGATTCAGCATTTCAAAGAGCCCTATATATATTCAATTTATGTTGAAATCAAACACAGTTTAATTTTGGACTCCGATTTGGACCAACTTGAAAACTGGATCCAAAATTAAATGTTTATTAATAGACAATATAAGCTTCGTTTTTAAAGGAGTTCGCTTCATTAAAAAAAAATATATAAAGCATTCAGAAATTTAGTTCATACAGAATAGCAAACAAACCTACCACAAAATTCTTCAAACAATTTACCAAAGAAAAGAAAAATAAATGGGGAATGTGTCCATGGGACACAGATGATAAAAAGTAAAATCACAAAAATACTGAACTCCGAGGAAAATTAAATAAAATGCTCCGCAGGGCGCAGCTTGATACGACCGCAGAGGTCGAACCCTGAACAGTTGGGGCAAGTATGGACACAACATTCAAGCTTGATACAGCTCTGAATTTGGATTGTGATTAAATATTTGACACAGCATAGGTTTCTGACACAGAATGAATGTGGTCTAAGAACTTAAAAATTTAAAATTGGACATTCACCTATTATGGTCCAATATCCAAAATCTAAATACATGGTTAGATTCAGCATATCAAAGAACCCCAAGAATTCATTTTTTGATGAAATCAAACAAAGTTTAATTTTGGACCCTTTTGACCTCAATGTGGACAAAGTTGATAACGGGGCCCAAAAATCAAAAATCTAAATACATGGTTAGATTCAGCATATCAAAGAACCCCATATATTCAATTTTTGTTGAAATCAAACAAAGTTTAATTTTGGACCCCGTTTTGGACCAACTTGAAAACTGGGCCCATAATCAAAAATCTAAATACATGTTTAGATTCAGCATATCAAAGAACCCTAAGAATTCAATTTTGTTAAAATCAAACTTAGTTTAATTTTGGACCCTTTGGACCTTAATGTAGACCAATATGAAAACGGAACCAAAAATTAAGAATCGAAATACACGGTTAGATTCTGCATATCAAAGAACCCCAATAATTCAATTTTTGATGAAATCAAACAAAGTTTAATTTTGGACCCTTTGAACCTCAATGTGGACCAATTTAAAAACGGGGCCCAAAATCCAAAAACTTAATACACGGTTAGATTTAGCATATTAAAGAACCCCAAAAATTCAAGAATAAAACCCCATTGAAAATGGTCAAGAAATAAGCAATTTATACGAAGTATCTTCTTTTGCACAATACTGTGCAGTTGAATATTTCTTGCTATTGCGCAATACTGCACAATTGACAATTTCTTGCTATTGCGCAATATTGTGCTATTGGATATTTCTTGCTATTGCGCAATACTGTGCAATTGAAGATTTCTTGCTATTGCGCAATACTGTGCAATTGAAGATTTCTTGCTATTGTGCAATACTGTGCAATTGAAAATTTCTTGCTATTGCACAATACTTATTATATAATAATTTACACATCCTGTTTGGTGTGTATCTCCTACCATATCATTATTTTTTGCTTTTAAATATAAATCAGAAATAACCAACTTAAAATGGAAAATTTTAAAAGAAAAAAAAAGGAAAAAAAAAAAAAAAAAAAACCCCAAATTTTTTGAACCCCCTTATGATTCATCACCCCCAAACTCAATCCCAGCCTTCCCTTTGTGGTATGGTACCTTGCAGTACAATTTCAGAGAGATCCATACACTTGAACACAAGTTATTGTCTGGAAACTAGAAAAATGCTTATTTTTGGCCCCTTATTCCTAAACGTTTCGGGCAATTACCCCCAAACTCAATTCCAGCTTTCCCTTTGTGATATGGAACCTTGTAGTACAATTTCAGAAAGATCCATACACTAACACACAAGTTATTGTCATGAAACTAGAAAAATGCTTGTTTTTTGCCCATTTCTTGGCCCCTAATTCCTAATATTTTGAGGCAATTACCCCCAAAATCAATCCCAGCATTCCCTTTGTGATATGGAACCTTGTGGTACAATGTCAGAAAGATCCATACACTAACACACAAGTTATGTCTGGAAGTTACAAAAATGCTTATTTTTGGCCCCTTTTTCCTTAACTGTTGGTACCATAACCCCCAAAATCAATCCCAACCTTCCTTTTGTTGTATTGAGCCTTATGGTAAAATTACATAGAGATCCATTCACTTAAACTAAAGTTAGAGTGCGAAAACCAATGTGTCTTCGGACGACGACGACAACGACGACGACGACG